AATGCCAGACCCGGGGAAAGGGCTGCTGGTAAGTGACTGGTGGCAGGGATTATAGCCACGCAGCCCAGCAGTGGTCAGTCCCATAAATCAATGTATGACCACCCCAGGGAGCCCGTCACCTACAGGAAGAGCAGCAGGGTTCATTCTGGATCTGACAGCATGTAAAAGTAAGCCATTGGTTGTCCAGCCCTGTACAAATTTAGCCCTACCGCTCTTTCTGATGCGGGCAGACACATCAAAGTAGATTCTAACCGTTTTTAAATGCCTTAGAATGTTAGTTATGAAGTTAATCGGCACCTCGAGTTGATTTTTGCCTTTCTGTTAACACGTCTTTTCATTTAAAAAAACACATTTATTTTCAAATGTAGAAACTGCTTCGGATTATCTACGATGGGAAGTGTTTACCTTAAAGAGTAATTGTTACAAATTCTAAAAACACAAAAATAATGAGGCTATAGATTTGTACGTTTGGGTTGATTTCTCATGTCATCTGCATTTTTCTTTAAGAGAAGATAAAAATATGGGGGGATGCAACGGTTAATGAGCTGATGATGTGATGTTTTTTTCAGTGTGAAAAGCCCTGCTGTGCATGTTGCTGTCCAGGCGATGCTCGGTGGACACACAAAGGTAGCCCAGACGCAATGAGTAGCCAGGACAAAGACAAATGGGTCACCCTGACCCCCGCCGAATTTGCCTTGCTACAGGAATACACCCACTGTGAGTAGAAGAGATATTATCTCATTATGTGGCACTGTGTTAAGGTGATTGTGCATGTTTTTTTTTCTGTGTTTCTGCAAAACCACAATAGGCCATAATGGGTACAGAGGAAGCAGGGACTGCGAAGAGCTGTCATTTTTAAAGCTTTTTTTATTTGTAAAGGTTCAAACTTTCATCAAAATAGAAAAAAGACATACAGAAATCTTTTTCCTTTTTAGAAAGGAAATCCTATCCTTTCCTTTGGGATGAATAATCCTCAATTATCCAACAACAAGCAGCAGATTTGAAGTTGTGTTGAAGGAAAATTAGGGGATTAGACCTCCACATGGAACTAATGGAAACTTTCTGTGAAAAAAGAAACCCAATTTAATGTCAATATTGACAGTTTTTCATTTAAACTAATATAAAACCATCAGAGCTCAAGCAAATATATGATTTTTACACAAAAAATTGGGCTCAGAGGATGTTCCAGTGAAGTGAAGTGAAGATATTTTCTAAAAATCTAATTTTCTAAAATTAGCTGACAGGTCTCGATATTAACGGTCACCAATCAGCAAATAACGTCTTTAATGACCATTAGTCCCCCTTCTCAAAAGCTAAAAAGCAACTAAAGTAGTTTTATTGTCAATTTTTTGTTACATGTGATATATTATCTACTATCACTCATATTAAAGCATTTTCTGAATCATTTTTTAATAAAGACTCTCGTTTGCATCTGATGTGAACAAACAATATTTAACTGGAACACAATGTGAAACTATGCATGCCACAGTCTTTGCAGATTTAATGATATCACCTCAAAATTAAGGTCTTGTAACCGAGGTGTGATTTCTGAACACTAAGACACGCTTTTAAAAAGATCCAGTCATGTCCAAAAGCAGGACTTAAAAAAACGTGAAATATACCGAACGGTAATCTTAAGATGACAGATATTCTGGAGATAAAATGTGCCAGCAGTATTTTAGAGGCGTATCGAGACCAAGAATCCTCGGATGGGCCGACAAAACATTGACGATTACATCAAAACACTGCTAATGTGCCGTCCATTTTTTAAATGATAGTGACTGTGAGAGATTTAGACTGGCCATGTTTGAATAAATCAAGGCCAGACCACTTTGGAGGAGTTTGGGTGTTGGTTCCCAGCATGGTGATCATGTTTTATGATTGAGATCAATCTAGTTTTATGGCACAGCGAATAGCAGATGAAAAAAGATTTTTTTCCACAATTCCAAAATGCAGCCATAATTCATAAGATGCAGCCAAATTGTGCGGTAGGTATATTTTTATGCTTTTTTCTGTTTTTCTGGCTGCTCGTACAGCTTGTGTAATGGTTCCTTCCATGGGTGTCCTCTGTTTCCCAGTGCCTGTGTTCAGGGTTCTTGGTTTCTGTCTTCCAGGTTAGGTTAGGTCAGTTTCTTGGTTTTCTCCAAGTTTTAGTTGCAGTTTTTTCTTATCTGGTTCTGTTTTAGCTGTTCTTTATACAATAAGCCTTGGTTTTTCTTTGAGATCCCCCCGTAGTCTCCCCCCTGTGTGTCTTTTCTGACCCCCATCCCCTCTCCCCCCCGGCAAACGGAGCAGCCTGATTACTTTAGCTGCCATGTTTAAGTGCATAATCATGTTGTTCACCTGCAGCGTTTCGCTGCTTGACAAAGCAATTATCTTGCTCTCTGCTGATTTGGTTTTTCTTATGAGGATGAGCAGGAGATGGGTGAAGAATTTCATAACCACACTGTGACTGTCCAGAGGAGTTGGGCCTTTCTGATAACTTTCCAACAGTCTTTTTCACTCTTCCTCTTTGCTGCCGGGAATGATGAGATGTTTAGAGATGATTAAGGTTTACATGTTGCAAAACACTTGATTAAATTTACTGGGTATATTAAAAAAAAACATTATCGCAAGTCAGGGCTGAAATTTTAGGTTAACATAAATGTTTGAGGGCAGTCCGGCCTGTGCACAGGGAGAATTAAATGGCATAGCATGGTTTGGAGTTGAATCAATAATTATGAATTGGTCATGTTTGAATAAATGTAGCCTAAATATAGTTTAATTATAGATCACACTTGTACCTATCCTGACATGTAAGCAAACAGGATACGTGGTGTTGCCTCCTTAAATCGACAATCAATTTTAAAGCTTCTTCTTTTGCTCCTTAAAGGTTACGAAAAGCCTTTAAAACGTCTGCGAAACTATAAAGCTAACCTCATCTCAGGTTGGCTGCTTTCCAAGGAGACACAGTAGGGGCTAAAACTTCAGTTTCATCATCATCACACCTCTGCTGGAAGAGCAAAGATCAGAGAAAACTGCCCACCGCGTCACTTTGAGTTGTCGGAAAGTTGGCAGGATTTCCGCCTCAGCGCATGCGGTAATCCTCCACTTAAATAGAAAACAAAAGCTCTCCAGAAGTCCTGGCAAAAACCAGACAGGATCATCCAAAGGTAGCGCTAATGGGAGTGTGCGGCCGACTTCACCGAACCCAAACACAGCTCGCCGTAGAGATTGGACTGTGTGTGCTCATAAGTTTGTCTCGAAAAAAATAAATAAAAAAAGATACAGCTCCCAAAGCAATTTAATCTTGGCGGCGGGCTCTGAGTGATTGCCTGTCAGCCGGACTCGTGTCCTCGCTGCTTACCAGACTGTGCTCTGGACGTCTTGAGTTTATGTTACGCTCCGAGATGTTGATGCGTTTCATCATTCGAAACGGTACCAGGAATGGAAAATATGATGCTACCTGGAAGGCTGACAGGAAGAGTCGGAGCGCCACCCGCACGCACAGATTAGGGGCCGACTTTGAAAGCCACGAAAAAAAGTGGCGGACGCCGTAAATCGTTTGCAGAAAAGACAAATGAACCATCTATGGACAAAAATAGAGTCGCCAAAGGTACAACTTTTGAAGTGCTTCTGTATCAGTTGTGCTTGTGTAACATGGTGGATGAATAGTGCCTTTTTCAGTATCACAAAAAGTAACCCGGAGCAATGTTATTTAAACATTACCCTCTTTTATTTGCTATTCAGAGCACATGAAAGATCATGAATCTTACTGGTTAAAGCTTCACACCCAGGATCTCTGGTGTCTGTGTTTCGACTTTCTTCTCCTTAATTGCTCAGTTTGTGCTTCCCATCAGCCTCCGTTCGCCGTTTCCGTGTTTTGCAAACATTTTACCGACCCCTTGAGTTCGTTAGGTTGGAATTGGCCGAAAGCGCACTTCAGAGACGGGGGGGGCTTGACGGATGCTGGGAATCCTGAATGAGCGCGGCTAAAAAGCGAGAGCAGATAATGAAGCATCAAATCAGCGTGAGAAAAAAAAAAAAACGGTTGCTGACGTGTGTGTGTGTGCACGTGTGCACGGTGCAGGTGCACGGAGGGGAGATTTTGCATAATGTTTTCCACAAATTCGGGGCAACTGTGGTGCAGCCTAAGGTCCCAAAAGCTCCACCAAAGGCCTCACCTTCCCTCCTCACATCTCCCTGCTTCTCACCCTCGCATGACCCCCCCACACACACATTCACACACACTCCTTTTTTTCCTCATTAAAGTGAGCTCTGCGCAATTTCATAAAATGTTAATGGCTGTAGGGGCCACGGCCAAATCTAATCCAACCACTAAAGCCAGTAATGGCGAAAATGCTAATAAACACAAGGAGAATGGTTTTTAATCTAAGGTAAAGAAAACATTAATGCTGTTTAGTAACCTTAGGAGTATCAAATTAGATTTTTTTTCCCTCGACCGCTGCCACACAATGGCTAAAGCCTTAAATACATTATTGTTCAGTCGTGCTGGCAGCAGGGGGGGTGGGAGGGGGGGGGGGCAGTCAGGGGACTGCTAATCTCTCGGCTTTGTGGTGGTTATGTGTGTGTGTGTGTGTGGATGCTGGTACACATGGGCTGTGATGATGACACACACTCAGGTGGTTGTTAGGTATTTATTCCCGGTCACTATTGGTTAATGGATTCTGAGAAAATCAAAGAGCCGGCCATTAGTGTGTAGGAGATAACAACCCGCTGCTAATAGGACGGCGGCTCGGATTTCGCTTTCAAATAAACACAGAATTGCAGCTTTTTAGCAAAATGGGTTTGGACCCACTTCTAAAGCAAACATAAAGACGAAAGACGGCCTTGCTAATATGTGCTACGGATCCACACAGCATGACGCATATACAGTTATTAGAACTGAAAAGAAATGAGAAACCAGAGCCTAATAATTCAGTGGGGAGAATAATAAGGCTCACGGCACAGCACTCACACTTCTGCTGGGACCTGGGAGCTTTTCTGAACCTAAATGAAGCTTGTTGGGTTGCGCCGATTTTTATGGAGAGGCTCCTAATGAGTCCCCGGACTCCTTGAATAATCTCCATCTGCTCGGCGGCAGCTCATGCCGGCCAAAGCAGTCGGCTCAGTCTCTCCCTCACGTATCCCTTCTTCCAGATTCCACGAAGAAGCTGAAGGACGTGCTGCAGGAGTTCCACGGAAATGGCGTGCTGGCTAAGTACAAACCAGAGGAGGTAGGTTCAGTCGAACACAGGAACTAATGATGGTAATGACTTCCGGTTGGGTTGGAGTCTTTTACATAATATGAAATGACCAAAAAGGCAGTAATAATGAATGGTAAAACCTTAATTTACTGGCATTTGAATCTAAACTTTGCAGGATGTGTTGCAGTGTGTTTGTATAGAGGCTGGGCAGTCTGTAATCAGGCTATAAAATTATACAAAATGTGCAGTAATACTTTAATAAACGACATGTTTTTGTTTTCTTCCATGCTGCTGATTTTAGAATCAGGAAATCCTCAACCAGGTAATACCAATGTCACTTTCGCTCAAACTGCCATTTACTTCAACCATTTTAGGGGGAAAGGTCAGGAGAAAATGAACAGGGAGGCAGTCTTATCACTTATTTCATCGCAACTCTGATTATTAATCTAGTTATTCAAAATTTCTATGAATTTACGATCTTTGGTAAAAGCAGCGAAAGCAAGACAAACATGTACGCACGAAATAATCCCATCACGTCTAATAGTTTGATCAAATTTAGGAAAGAGAACACGCAAATTGATTTAGAAACATCAGAAACAAATGCCCCGGAAGAAAGTCTGCTCGCAGGATCATTTCCACGACGAATAAAAACCTAATTTGACAACCGGTAAATAAGTGGAAAAAACATTTTTCAAGCCATCCGTTAACCTCAACAACTGAAAGGACAAATTAGCCTTTGACAAAAAGCCTCCGCGAAAGTCAAAGCGGCTCTGAAATGGCGTTCTTTATGCATGCTGTGATCAACTTGTGTCAGCTTGTGTAGTATGACAGATTGAGAGGGCCTGGAGTGACCTTTACCGCACAGCCATAACCATTCCTGTGAAAGGCTGCAGGATGGCGCCCACGTGCGCGGCTTTGCGTGGCGCTGAATTAGCTTCTGACGTTGCTAAATTGAGGGTGAATAATATCCGCAAAGGTACCCCATCTGTTCGGATTCAGGCGAGACCCCGTTTTTCTGCAGCAAACTTAAAAATGGCAACCCCAGATAATGAACTATACCTTAAATGTGCTGAAATGAACCCCTAAATGATCCAGATCGAATGCTTAGCAACCCAAAATGCATCGAGACGCAATGCTAGCCCCTAGCCCCAGCAGCACGGTGGGCTTCCCCTTCAAATTCTGCATCATGAACTAGCAAACGCCTCCTTAAATTGCTGTCTTTGTGTTCAGGAGATGGACTACGAAGGCTTCAAGGTCTTTATGCAAACATTCCTGGAGAGTGAACTCCCGGAGGAATTCTGTCAGCACCTCTTTATGTCGTTTAGCAACAAGGCTCCCAAACCCAGTCCCTCATCCTCTGACAGGCCTCGAGTCTCTGGTAAGTGTACAGAGAGGAAATTCCTTCCCCCAAACAAACCCTCTGTTGCTGATACGTATAGAAAATGGCTGCGGCTTTTGTTTTGTTGCCACGGCGCAGACGATCTGTCAGTTCCCCCCTGTCGGTTTCCGGAAAAACTTCACCGGTTAACTTTTCGTTACCGTCCCTGGTCTCCGCCGTCAGACAATCCCGCCCGGTTTTATTCCGCGTAAAGTTCCGGTCGGGGCCCTCCGCCAATTGTTTTTGGCAGCGACCGTGTTTGTTTACGGCGTTCGTGCTGAGATCGCCTTCCCATGCGCCAATGACTGGTATCCGCATAGAACGATTTCAGCCAGCCAGACTAAAGCCCAATCCAAGAAAAAATAGGGAGAATTTTTGTTATCGTCTGAAGTCTTTAGTTGACCCTTCACAAAATATATGAGGAAAAACAGAAATTATTTTTGAATGTTCGTCATTTATTACCTTCTGCTAAGTCAAAATGATTGTGCATAGTCTTCTGCCCACTGTTATCAGGTATAGCTGATTGTGTATGACAAGGTTTTGAACAAAGTTTTTACCTTGAAATGATGCAAAAGGTCTCAGATGCAACTTTTTTCAGAAATTGTATGTATCAAATATGATACATATGGCATTAAAGGGTTAAGTTACTTTAATTCATTTGGGCTGGGGCCGGCCGTCCAGAGGTGCATGACAAAATTTGTGACAGTCAGTAGATCATAGTCGGGCCTTTCTTAGCTTGGGAGTTTCTGAGGGGATTTGGAGTGTCAAAAGGGATTTTTGTGACAGATTAGCGCTTTTGGAGTCTGTCTCCTCAAACTGTCACATTAAGTGCTGCTGAGAAATGCGGTTAATTCACTTTGTGGAGTGAAAACGCCCAGAAATATATTTCCAAGTGGCTTTGGTCCCGATCGGATCCCTGCATGCATGACTTATTTAGTGTCTCAATTTTTTAAAAATGTGCCATCTTTGTGCAGTTTTGTCAAACACTTTGCTGCGTACTTTGAGTTAAATGACTAGAGGGAATGCCGTGTTTATGACAAATCTCAAATCTTATTGTTTGTTTGCTCGGGAAGGTTTGGTTTCCTTAATGCGGTGACGTTGACCATCAAAGTAGCGTTGTTCTCTTTTGAATCAGAACGGTCAAAACGGTCGATACTGGGCACCAGCAGGTTGCCGCTTTGACCTTTGGTCTGTGCCTCCCTGCAGGACTGAAGCTGATCAAAGGCAGCTCCACCCCTCTGAAGACCCAGGCCCCGTCCAGGCCGCTGGACACCGTGCAGCTGAAGGACATCGTCTTCTACCTCTCCCTGCTGGAGGGCGGGCGGCCTGAGGACAAACTCGAGTGTAAGAAACCCCCCCCACCCCGCCACCACGCGTTCGATGGCACGCCAAACGAGAATTTAGAATCCACGTTTCATCACACGATGCTTTGTATGTTTCTCCTCTGCCTTCGCTGGCATGCGGAGCCACAGAGTGAGTTATTGCTGTTCCTCACGTGCACGGAAGGCTTTATTCCGTTTTGATGACGTTCTCTGTGTGCCTTGCACAACAGCGGCTGATCCATTAAGGCAGACTGGGGGGACTTTTAAAGGGACAGGACCCAAAACAGCTAACGGCACAACAGGAGAAAAAGCATTGAGTTTTTTTAATTAATTAAATTAAAGGTGTCAGATTTTACTCCCTTTTTCTGTTTTTACTTTAAATCCAATTGGAGTTTTTCTGGGAATATTTTCCCAGTGCATTCAATCAAGCTTTTTCTCTTTAGCATGTGTTTTCTTTTTTAACAACATGCATAAAGCCATTCATTCCATTCATTGTTGTTTAAGGTTCAATCAGAAAATGTCTCTTTCTGCTCCCATTAGGCTCCTCTGGCTGGTTGTCTGGTGCCTCGGCTCGGCAGCTTATTGACTAAATGCTAACTACCCCCCACCCCCGGCATCATTTATTCACAAAGTTGCGTTGCTTAATTGGACAGACGCCTTTATTCGGCGCTGATGTAATTCGCATCCATCCGATGAATTATTGATCGGCGTGGCACGTTAAGCTCAGGAAAGTGTAAATAATTCAACTTATTCTTGCTGCATGTGTGTGTGTGAACACTGAGTTGTCGAGCGCCCTGTTTGTATCCTCCGAGCTCCTATTTGCAGTCGATGGGTCCCTCTGCTGGTTTACCGAGTCACTGCTCGGCACGCAATTTTAGATTTTCTTCCACATCTGTGTTTTTCTTTCTATTTATTTAGATCTTTACACATTTCCAGGATTTTTTTTTTTTCAGGCCGTTGCTGAGAATTGGACGGAGTAAACATCCTTTAATGAGATAATCCCAGTTACTGTTGACAGGAAATTGTCGGCAGAGTGCTGGTTTTTGGACGCTACTTAGCATACTTTAGTTTGTCTGAAGTCTGAATAATTATTTTGGGAAAACCCGAGTGGTTAGCACTGTGTTGTGTATCCTTGTTGTTTTTGTTTTTCTGGGTGTGGCTCTCTCCCACAGACCAGACACATGCTTTTTCGGTTTATTTGATGATTCTGCATCTGTTACAGGAGTGGTTATCTCTCCCTTTTTTATTGCACAGTTCTTTATATCCCATCCATTGTCTACTGGGCTGGGTTCCCATTACCAGACACCTTGAACAAGGTAAAAAAAATAAATAAAAGAGGCTGTTTTCCCAGAATCAGTATAACATCGTCGTCCTTTTTTGGGCCTCTTCGGGTTGCCACAGTCACCTCCTTCTAACATCTACAACCCGACAGAATCTGGCAATCCTTCCCTTTGCCTTCGCCTCCAAAGCTCTCACCTCTTCAGGAACCGGTAATTAGCTCCTCGTTAGCGGTCTGACACACCGCCGCCGCCGGCGTTCCCGGGCCACGCTCACAGCCGTGGGCCGGAACGCCGGCGGGTTCCATAAGAAAACGGGTCTCCTCCAGGTCATGATGTCACCGCTCGTGCGATGTCTGTTTCCATGGCGACGCTTTTAAATGGTAATTGGGGGGCACTTACAGCTGCAGAGACGTGGGCTCTCTTGTTTATTTGCATGCAGCGGAGCGCATTGTGGCATTGGCTGAAGAGCGCTCCTCCACCCAAGCTGCAGCAGAGCTTTAGATAGTCACTTTAGAGGCTGCCGGGGGGGCGGGGGGGGGAGGGAACACGGGGGGCAGCACTGTAGGCTGACATCTTGTTTCTGTCTCCACAGTCATGTTTCGCCTCTATGACACAGATGGGAATGGGTCATTGGACAGCTCGGTAAATATGTCTCCTCTTGTCGTTTGTGGAAGAAAAGTGGAAAAAAACAGAAAGAAGAGTTTTTAAAAAAAATTTATTTCATTTTACTTTGTGTCAACATGGTGTAAAATGAGCCTGTTTATCTGTCCTGATTATTCTTAAGTAATCAGTTAATTTGTAGCGTCATCAAACATCAGAAAATGATGAGAAACAGCCTTTTAGCAATGTTTTAAGCACATATAACATGTTTTATTATATAAGAGAAGGAAAAACAATTAATTTCAATAGTTAATTAGCTTACTTTATCAAAAGTTTGGAAATATGGTAATGTAAAGCCATTCATTTTAGAATTATCTCTGTATTTGTATATACGGTATATGTTTTTTGGGGGGCCTTCTACATATTTTAATCATGTTAATCTTGTTAAAAGTTCCATGAAATGTCCTCTAATGTGTTAAAAGCTGTATGGTGAGTTAAATCGGCCATCGGCCTGCAGAGGATTTCTGCTTTGGACCTGCTGAGCAACAAGCAACTGATTAAATGAGAAGCTTAGAGGAAGTAAAAAAAGGTAGAAAAGCAGTGAGGAGCTGCAGTTTACGGCTCACAGGGATCCGTCCACTGGGTGAGCTGAAACTAGACGAGACTGGCCCAGCTACCTACCAGCAGCTCCATGGCTCAGCAGAACAAAAACACATTTATAGTAATACGCGTGCTTGGATAGGAAAAAAACAGCAATTAGTGAATTGACAACTGTTTGTTTTTTCAGGTCTGAAACAAAAGGTGAAGTGTGACGCGGGGGTGTAATGTCCCCGTTCATTAGTCACCTCTCACACGTTATTAGCAAATAAGTGGAAAGAAATACTGGTAAAAAGATACGATTATTCAGCAACGGGGAAAATGACCTATTTTCTGCTGATTCTTTTGAGTAAACGGGGGGGAAAAAAGCGAGAATTAGTGAATTCTGTCTCAAACGTGAAGTGCATCATGGTGATTCAGTCTGCCACCAGATAATAATGTCACCCTCTCGGTAGAGCGCGAGCCCCAAAAAGCAACTATTGTAATTAAAGCATCAGCCTCTGAGCTCTCTTCCCACGCCGGCTTTGTTTCATCGCGCGCACGTTTCCAACCTGCTATTACTGACTGTTTATCAGTCCATTCATCCTGTTCAGAAAGGTAAATACAGTATTTTTTGGGCCCGTAATGACTGTCTGGGGTCTCGCCGCAGGAGCTGGAGCACATTATCTCCCAGATGATGCATGTCGCCGAGTACCTGGAATGGGACGTGACAGAACTCAAACCGGTAGGGGGAACATGTTTTTTTAAAAAATAATAAACGCATATTCAGGATGTGGAGGACGTGTGGTCTGACTTGTGTTGTCGTGATCCTCCTTGTGTTGTAGATCCTCCAGGAGATGATGCGGGAGATCGACTACGATCGCGACGGCACCGTGTCCTTAGGGGAGTGGATCCAGGGAGGCCTGACCACCATCCCTCTGCTGGTCCTGTTGGGCCTGGAAACAGTGAGTCCACAGAGACACAGATTATCGTTAAAGATGATTCATTTTAACTCACTGGCTGCCAAAGACGTCTATAGACGTCAATTCAAATACAACCGTTGACTGCCAAAGACGTCTATAGACGTCTTTTAGGTTTTTTCAACGCGAGTGGCTTGGGGGACGATCTGCTAAAGCTTGTCCGTAAATATCAGGCTTCCAGACAGAGTATGTAGTAACAAGTTGACCCTCTAGGTGGCAGTGCCACTTTTGATGGGAGATGAGCATAGACTGTAGGCAAATAAGAAAAAGGTAACGGTTCGCTATGAGAGAACATGTCGCCGGTGAGACGCAAGTCGAGGAAGAACGGAATAAGGTAGAAACAATTTTATTTTCCTGATGAAAGAAGAGAGTCTACTCTTTCTTTTGGTGTGTTCGGTGTTTACATA